ATTATATTTAATAATAATAATTATACTTTTATATTTACTCTTAGTTTCTTGAATGAAGCCCAGAAAAGTTCCTTAGATCTAGTAGATGCTGAGAACTATTTGCTGAATAAATTTATTATACAAGGATGCCCATAAATCTGGAAACAGAGAGAGAGAGAGAGAGACAGAGAGACATGCAAAGGGCTTCTTGGTATTACACTGTAAGGTACCTGATGTAATGCAATATGTAGCATGTGTCAGTGGGTTGTCCCTCACTAACAGTGCAAAAGCACAGCACACTAATGCAGCGTTCCCATCCTTCCCTGCCCACATATCCTCCTGTGACATTGCCTCTCGTGGCTTTGTCTCTGGCTTTTACTATGTCAACTTGAGCCTTTAGTCTACCCCATAAGAAGCAATCAAATGGATCCACATATGCAAAATAAAATAATAATCTTTGTTTTCAGAATTCAAGGTCCCCTGGAGGCGTCCTTTCCATCTGTCCTTCTCAGTCCTCCCTCTCTGTGACGGGAGGGCATCTCCCTGCCATTTATTATTGACACCTATGGACACCACTGCTTCCCTTCCTCCTTTCTACCCCAAGCACCCCAACTGATTTTCTCCTAACGTAATGTGGAGATTGGGTCCTTTGCCTTTGACTTTTCCTCTCCATTCCCTTCACACTCAGCTTGCTTAATCTCTTCAACTTCCTGTGGTGGAGAGTGGCTATGCCCTCTCCTCTCTCTTTCTTGAGACTGCCCATGGACCTCCATGATGTTACCCTGGTGCAGTGAGAACCACTTCCCATGTGTGCAGACATCATATCAATTGGGAGACCCAGCCTTCATCCAGTCTGTGAAGGAACTGGGTTAGCCTTACATATTTCAGCTTCTCTAGTTTTTCTGCAGCTAAAAGGTGGAGATGGGAATGTAGAAATGGAAGGCCTTCCGGGAACTGATGTGACTTTTCTGGAGAAAATCACCCTCCAGAAGGGCTTCTGCTGCTAACACTCCAATGAGCTTAGCTTCTTTCTCTTCTACAGAACACCTGCCATGATTGGCTGCTCCTTCGTGGTCAACAGGAAGTTCTTTGGTGAAATTGGTCTTCTGGACCCTGGAATGGATGTGTATGGAGGAGAAAATATCGAGCTTGGAATCAAGGTTTGTGAAATGGCATCTCTTCCTCTTGATGTATTCGTGTTAGTGAGCAGAGCTGGTTAGTCGTCTTTGAGGTATTTTTAAAAGCGCCTTGGAGTTGATGAATGACAGATTCATTAGTCCACCCCAGTCCTGGGGAGGTGTTTAAGCAAAATTGTCACTTCTTCTTAGATAGAGGGACCTGGGTTTTGCCTTTCTGAAGATTGACTAATTTGTTTCATCCCTTGGTGACTCACAATGGATGTTCACCAGAGAGTTTCGTTTTTCCTTGCATCCAATTTTGTTCTCTCCTTAAATTTTCTTAAAATTAAGTGATCTCCTTGAATTAATAATTCTTTCCTGGGTACATTGATGGTTTGTGTTCATGAAGGATTTATAAGATGCCTGGGGAGGGAAGCCTCATATTCTGGGGATCCCTCATTTCTCAGAAATGTTTCTGGCTGTTGCAGAAAGAGGAGGTAGCAGAATGAGCCCATTATTGGGCTCCCAGCTGAGATCAGCTCCAGTGGCACATATCTTCCCTTCTGGGTTCTAATCACTATTTTATTTGCAAAAATAATTCTACTGTTTGTTTTTTTTAAAGTTGGAAACCACTGATGCATTCCAACCTCTCCATTTTAGAGTTAAGATAAATAACTTCCACGGGGACCAAAGACAAGAGGACACTTTTAGTACCTGATGACAAAGAGTCTCTACTGGACCAAGCTTTGGTCAGGCACCAGAACATTTCTCCTAGGCCCATCTTTGCACTTCCTAGTAGAATCTAGTTTTAGCAAGAACCTGCTAAGTAGATTTAGCAAAAACCCTACACCCTTGATGTCTGCTCGCTGTCCACATCTGATTAGGTTCCTAATCCTCCACTTTCTATCCCCACATGATGTCTGCTCCTTCTGTACTGTCTCCAGGATGAGTCCTACAGAGCCAGAATCCCCTTTAACCTCATGCTTCCTCCTAGTAATTTTCCCTCCACTGACCCCCAGTGTGCTCCTTTGCTATAAAATCCCACTTACTCGTGATATAATCAGAGTTGAGCCCAGGCTGTGTCCCTTACTACAGAATCTCATTGCCATAGCTCCTACCCCTATCACAACAGCTCTGAATCATTTCTGTCTTACTGTGCTCTCACAAGTGTCATTGAGTAACTTTTTCTTTGCTGCCAATAATCACTGAACAATAGATTTGCTACTTCTGTCTGGTGTACCCAGTACTAATACTGTGAAAAGCCAGGCTGGGTCTCTGTGTCACTGTTGTCTGTCCTGAACCTTTGTATACTTGGGCAAACCAGGGTTGCATACTTGGGAAGCAGGCTTGTTGGGAACAACTCAGGACACAACTGGAATGTTTTAGGCCTGTTGCATTGCTTCTGCCTTCCTCTGCTGCAGTCATCTTATTTTTATTCTACCCAGGTGATAACTCAGTGCGTAACTCTGAGCCCTAATCAAAGTCTGCTCTCTGCATCTGATTTCAGTGGTTTTCCCTAAATGCTCAATACCTTTAAGACACCCACTGCACTTCCCATCTGCCCCTGACCTCCCTTTTGCAGGATGAAAAGCATTGTCTCCTCATATAATGAACATCCATAGTTATGAACCTCCAGGCTATATGAGTGAGGGGGATGTTAGGGACCATCTCTGAACCCTAAAATCATTCCTTTTTCAAGACTGTAGATTCTTCTTCCTGCACTTTCAATCCAGACAGAGTTCTTTCCTCAATGGAGTTTGCACAAGACTTTCTTTTAAAGCCCCATGACTCAAAAGCCCATGATTATAGCTAATATATTTGCTAATGTATTTGTGATTCATCCATTTGGAACTTAACTAGAGGGAAAGATCTGGACCGAGCATGCTGAACGTTTGCCTACAACTTAAATTGCAACCTTCCTGCTTTCTCCTTCTTCTCTGTACCTTTGTGCCTCTTTCTCCCTTTTGTATTCAACTTCCAACATAAAATAAAATTTACTTTTTCCTATGTATATTGGTTTTCTCTCTCTTCCCTTCATTAGACTGCAAGCTTGGTGGGGCACAGACATCTGTTTCTCTCACCTTTGCATCCCAATCATGGAGGACCAAGCCTGGTCCATGGCTCAGTGGGAATTTCTTAAATGAATGTTTGAACAATTGCCTTGGAACTCAATGTGAGTAACAGCAATGAAATCGGAGAGATTGGAAGGCAATGATGGTCATATGAGAGATGAAGATATTCAAATAGCTTCTTCCAGGTACTTACTGGTGAGGTCAAGGAGCTGAAGGAAACCCTGTATGGAAAGAGTTGAGGTTTTTTAAATTTTATTTTGAAGACAAGAGAGAATGGATATCTCTATATCTTGAGAAAGGTATCAGTGAAGAGTCAGCCATTACCAGCAGAGCAGAGAGCGGGTGATGGGTGAAACACTGTCCCTGGTGAGGGAAAAGTGCAGGTGAAGAGATTGCTGGGACAAGAGGGAAGCTCTCAGATTTGAGCCACTGCAGGCTACTTCCTATGGACAACACAGACTTGGCAGCAGAAGTCATTGGCTGACTGGGGAGAAGTTGTTAGTTTCCCTGTACTCACAAAGGCATTTTCTTTTGTTTTTAACTTGGAGATTTATTTTTACTAGCTTTATTGAGCTATCATTGACATAAAATTGTACATGTTTAAGATGTATATTATATATATATATATATATATATATATATATATAGTTCACCATCAACCTAACTAGTATGCCTATACCTACATAGTTACCATTGTGTGTGGGGGGGGTATATTAATTACTTTACTGTCACTAGGAGAAAATACCCAACACTGGAAGCTTAAAGGAGGAGAGGTTTATATTGGCTCATGGTTTCAGCGGGTTCAGTATAGGGCAGAAAGCAGAGAGAGAAGAGAGGAGCCAGGGACAAGAATACACCCTTCCAGGTCACACCTGCAGTGATGGACCTCTCCAGCCAGTCCCACCTCCTAAGAGCACGTTCAGGTATGAACTCAAAATGATAAATCCACTGATGAGTACAGCACCCTCATGATCAAATCACCTTCTAAATGCCCCACTCCTGAACAAATGAGACTCGGGGAGGACATTTTATTGTATTTCTGATACTTAAGCTTCATATTCAGTAAAGGCCAAATTTTTAAAGTAGAACATTGGTGAATAGTGGCTCCAAAAAGTTGGAGAACTCCACCAAACTTAGGTACCATTTGGCTCCCTTTAATCTTTAATATTAATCTCTTTTGTGCAGAGATGTTAACCCAAGGACAGAAGGTGGAATTTAAGAGCATACAGACTTCTCCCTTAATAAGAACCTGTCTCAAAATTTAAAAAAAAAATTTTTTTAAAGGGTGGGGATGTAGCTCAGTGCAAAGGCCCTGGGTTTAATCCCCAATACTACATTTCTAAAAAGAAGGTGCTTTGTTTTGTTTTACACGCTATATTCCGTCTCCTTTGGTATTAAAATATTTTATGCTGCTCAGGGCACATATTATTTGAATATTAAATGTATTCTTAAGAGATCTCTCCTCATTGCTTGAAAAATTCAGAACTTTCTATAAATATTTATATGCAGATATATATATGATTTTCATGTAGTGTACACACATATTTACATAAACAATTTTATTTATAAGAAAGGACACAAAATCCTGTTTAACATTTTTGATGTGTATTTTCATATAATATCTTATGTTGTAGGAAAAATTTTGATATGAGAGCGGTATGTTTTCCTTTTGATTTTTGCACCTGTTTCTTGGTTATTTCTTTCACCAAAAATAGAGCCATATACGATCTTTCTTATCATTCCCAGGAATTTTTTGTTACTTCTTAATTTTATCTGGAGTACAAAATGTGCCATGAGAACAGAGGGAATATAAAGACTTCCTGTGGTTCAGGAAAAAAAAATAGTAGAGTTGACTTTAGGGGTATTTCTTGCATGAATGGCAACTTACCAGTGGTCAAAGCAATCGATAGAGTGAAGAAGAAGAGAACTTTCTGGAATTGAGAAAATAAATAAGATTAGCAATTGGGAGCTTTCTTCTTAATTCTGAGTAACATTAATCAGAAACTAGAAACCATGCATATGACAATAACATGTCTAGATTAAGGACTCCTAAATGTTAAGAGAAAAAAAGTCTCCAGAGAAGAGATAGTTTACTTTTACATGATGTAAAATCAGATGGCTTCTGATTTCTCCAATATATCAGTCAGTTTGAGAAGAAAAGACATTAACTCCTCTGAACTCGTTTAAAAATGGCTAGCACCTAGGACTGCTGAATCTTGTCAGGCAGCCATTGCTAAGGGGAAACAATGAAAAGGCTCTTTTCAGATTTTCTAAACTATCAGAAAATGTATTAGCTTAATGTCTTAGTTTCCTTTATATAAGAATCCCAAGAACTGAATAAAGGCAGAATTCCTGTGTGTGCACATTGGTTAAAATATTTGTGAAACAGATGATCCACTGTGGAAGTAAATAGGAGGACTTGTGGGTGCACAGGTGTGATGACCATTTTGCCTGGTCTGACTGGGCCTGACCCAGCCCCACACCATTCCATGGTGTAACCTCTGCAGGGACCTCTTGCTGAGTTCCTCAAGACTTCATCAGCAAAGGGTTCAAATCCTAAGTCTTCATTATTTTGGCCATGTCATGCTGCATGATGGGCAGAGGATGGATGTATTTTAATTTATACTGGATAATAATAACATTTTTAGAAAGTAGAGTTTGTGGGATGTCTAATTTCTGGCTGCATAGTTCATGATGCCTCTGAGCAACACTATACCCCTGAGGAGCAGGGGTGCCATGTTTATGACTTAGTTGAGACCAGGTTGGCACTCCTACCATCTTGCCCAGCTCAGTCTGTTTGACCTCAGCACACTAATGATCAGCAGGACTCCTCAGGGACTCAGGCCATGACAGTTCCCAAACCAACTAAAATAACCTGAGCAGTAGACTTGAACACTTGCTTCTTTCAGATCAGTCATTTAGAAGTTTTGAGCCAGCTGGGGTGGCCAAAGCCTCAGGCCCTCAAAAGAA